CATTAAAAGAAGTTATATTTAGTTTTTCCCTTTCATACCACTATTATCTATCCAAATGAATAGTGGCCGCTGTCATATTTTTAATAACTTTTTAACAGAAATAGATGGAGACCTGCGGCTTTCACTGTTTTGTAGCCAGGACCTAACAGCATCTTCCTATGTTTTAAGTACATAGTTGAGAAGAGTATTTCATTGAACTGTAGACTGCAAACATATGTCAAATAATTCAAACGTTTGGTTAACTGCATTTTATCTGTGCTACACCATGAATTTGCATAATAGTTTCAAAAATCAACAGAAAGTACTTTGGTTGTTGACAGATCTTCTAGAAAGCTTCAGGAATAAGACAATGTTTCGCACTAATTTTTACTACAAAATACGATTAAGCAGATAAAATGGACTATATCCGAATATTTTGAAGCAGTTTGGAACAATTTTGACTGAGTTATGAATTTTTTAATTTTCGGTGAAAATAGTGGAAAATAGATGATTTCGTCTAGTATAGGTTTTCACTATTTTTTAAGGTTTTTCGAAAAATAACCGTTGCCATAAGATTCAACGTGGTCGATAACCTATGTTTCCACGTGTTTTTAAATTTCTAAATATCAAGAAAATCCTGTTCTGAGGTGTCTCAGGAAAAGTCCTGTCTTGTCCGAACGATCGTAGATGGCGCTGTGGGGTTTTGGCAGATATGTAGAATAGATATCGCTCGATGTTAGACGTATTTGAAAACACTAATCTTGTATGAAAAGTTAGGAAGCGACAATCTTGCCTTTAGAATATCGATGAGGTACATCGTGGTAGAATTGATTTATACATAGGAAGATGCTGTTAGGTCCTGGCTACAAAACAGTGAAAGCCGCAGGTCTCCATCTATTTCTGTTAAAAAGTTATTAAAAATATAACAGCGGCCACTATTCATTTGGAGAGATAATAGTGGTATGAAAGGGAAAAACTAAATATAACTTCTTTTAATGGTCTGTGTATTTATTTGTTAATTTAAACCAGTGGATCTTATTTATATTGCTCTGCTTTTGTTTTCAAATAAATATAACGTGAAATTCGAGTTAGAAAGTGGATCGAGATCAACTTTGGTCTAACAAAATTGAGAAAACGTACCATTAGACATCAAAAAGTAAACAGTAGCTTCTATAATCAACTAAAATCAAATCACTAAGTCATGCTGTATAGCGAGTTTACAGAGAATTTGGTTAAAAGAAACACAAACAGCAGCGACTCATCGACGAGATTTTGCATAGGGAATGATCGTTATTGTCTAAGCACTTTTCATTGTCTTGTGCATGAACAAAATCCTTTATAAAAATCTTCTGCGAATTGAAGTGAATTAGTTTGAGTTTTATCAGCACACTGAACAATTGAAGGTCAAGTGTATCATTTATGTCAAAAAGATGATCACCGATATGTGATCAGATGAAGAAGATGACATAGTCGGGAAACCCGCAGACTTTCCTCACTGGATGTGAATTTACTGAATTCATAAGAAATTTCTATTTTTCAAGAACTAACTTTACGAAGGAACACTACGATTTTCAAACTTCCTTTGCGGAAGCCTCTATGCAATCCTATCCATATGTATCATTCACATGTACTACAGGCTTGTACCATAAACAAACCACCAATTTTGTTAGTAAAGGTTTCAAGCTGCAAGAATTCTGGCAAATGTCAGATGTGCGTAGTCAGATGTGCTGATTTATTACATAAGAGAAATGCACCATTGCCGATGAAAAGCAATAAGTTTAATATTCCACGTTTATTCAAATTGCATAACAGATTTTAATCATTGTTCGTTTCTTTGGAAATAGAAAGAATGTACGAAAACGTGTACTATTAATCATAAGCAAATAATACTAGTGATGTTTGACAAAAAGACATTGTGCAATAACCATTATGAGACATACATATATACCTAAAATTACAGCGTGAATTATTTCTTGACATAAACTTTTTTATCTAAAAATTTTACAGTAATGTCGGATGTAGATGATGATTTTGAGATTTTAACAGTTGAATCGCCGCAACCATTTGAAATAATCGATGTAACTGATCTAAATACAGATGATAAACAACCACATTTATTGGTAAAAAGCGATATAAAGCAGTCAACGCATACTGTTTCTTCACCTGTTACAACTACTCAAGTAAATGCAGCTACCACAAAAAATAAAAAGTTAATCAATAGCGATAAACTTGTAAATAATATCGAACAAAAAACGCCTGCAACTCCGATTCAGAAATCAACGAATAAAACTGTTGTTCAAAATGAAAAGATACCAACTTACAACTCACAGCTAAAACAACAACAAAATACAACAAATGAACAATTAGAATTATTGAAGAAGAAAGATCAACTTCCATCGTCTGCTTATCTGCCAAAACGTTATGGGACTGCAGCCGATATTCCTCACGGTCTCAATGATGGTTTTGACTTAAACACAATAATTGATAAATCAAAAACTCAAACATCAAATTATTTATCAGCCACTAATAATAATAATGATAATATTTTAGATTTGATAAAGAAGAAAAACATCAAATAACTTTAGTTAGTCATAGATTTAGTAATTTTATAAACCATGAGTGTGTTCCTTTACAAATTGTGGTTTTGGCTGAAAGAAGTTAGTTCTAAACTATTATTTATATGGAGGGTTTTGCCATGATCAACTAGAGTACATGTATGTAATGCTTCAGTGACCTTGTTTGGTCTGTTGTTTCGATTATGAAGCCGCAGCGTGTATATAGTTTTAGCAACTTTAGTATTACAGTACATCAAATATTTGTAAATGAGTATTGTATTTTGTCTATACATAGCATCGTATTCAGCTTTTTTAAGTACATAGTTGAAAAGAGTATTTCATTGAACTATAGACTGCAAACATATGTCAAATAATTCAAACGTTTGGTAAACATCAACTAAAAGTACAACTTCATTAATAAAATACTTCATAAATCGATCTAAGTAGTTGGGGACCTAGAGTACCGTCCTTACAGTGGTCACTCTGGTAACAAAATTCATTTCTGAGATTTTAACTACCGATGATATCCAGTGTCGGGCTGTGACAGTTACCAGTTACTGTTACCACCGTTACTCGGTAACTGTAACTGCTGAACAGTTGACGTTCTTGGTAACGGTAACGGGTAAGCAGTTACCGTACAAGTAACGATAACGACCAGTTACAAGTAACGGTAACTGTTCAGTATATCTTTCAAGAGTCAAAT